TTTTTTCCGGGGCCATTTTTTCCGGGGCCATTCTTACCGTACACCCATCAAGACCCAGTACGATGTGCTACGGTGAATTACGGTTGACCACGAAATTTAGTACGGCGCCATTGCGGTTTTTAAAAATTAAAAATTCGTGCTCAATCGTAGCAAAAATCGTGAATGTGTGAAAGGGGCATTATGATGCTTGCCTTCCAATTTCAGGATTTTTTGGGGGGTGAAGTCGGGCACTCAATGGTTCACCGGATCCGAATCCTCTCCCTGGTTCTGGTTCTGGTGGGTAAAGCCGACCTCTAAGGACTCAATTGATAGGAAAGGTCCACCATGTGAGAGCGCTAGACGACGTGACGCCGTCTGTTGATTGTCGGTATAGCAGCCTGAACTGATCGTCATTTAAAACGATCCGTTGTGCGCCGCCGTCGTTGCGTTCTCCATATTCTCGCCGGCCGACGACCGTCGGGCGCAGTGAGTGGCCGGCTTAACATTTCCGTTAAGTTACAGGATTTTTTTCTCACAAAAATAAACTTGACCCCCCAAGTCTCAAATGTAGAGCATCGTGTGTCTATGGTTGTCTTGTGAAGTTCAAGTATTATGGCGATAAGGTGGAAATTAACTTAGAGTGGAGATAGGAATCAACCAAGCTTAGAATTAGAAGATAAGCTATAAAGAATCGTCAAAAAAGCAAAGGAAACAAACGTGTGAAACATGAGGGGCACCCAGTGAACGGATTTGTAAAGGTCTCTCACCAACTAAATAAAATATCTTATCGATTTTGATGTGATAAGTTCAAGCACTTTTCCGTCTTTGGCGCAATAGAGACGTATGATTATAATCATGCAAGAAATTGGATTATATTGGAAATAGTCTCATAATTATGTCCAATTAGGCATAGGCCGATAGAAATAAAATACATTGATGACGTATCAACCAATGATTACAATACCGGTTATACTATTCACATGCATCATCATTCTGTGGGTATAAAACGGTCGCTGGCTGTGTTCCCTTCTGAGAATGTTGCCGTCTGAGTAATAATCAGTGGCGTCTCTAAGATTAGCATCGGCGGATCAAGAGATGTCCGAAAGGGCAGGCTGAAATACTAGAGCATTTATTAACAGTGGAGAGGGGGGCGCCTCGGAGGTAGGCCTATGGTATGTTTTGATTAATTATTATGCTATGTTAAAGTAAGACTAAAAGGGATGTTGTATATCATAACGTATATAACATCTCTCTCTTGGTATAATTTAATATAAACGAACCTATATTTAGTTCCTAGGTTGTCGTGCAAGACCCCACGCGGTCTTTCATAATAGTTAGTTTTGACATTGTGCTTTTAAAATACTGCAGTACATCGATCAAACTTCGTTAGGTCATGTTAATTTTATTGGGGAAAGCAAATCCACATGCATGAGTATTAGGTCTCACTTCATACAGTTGGTATGACAATTCTAAGAAGAGGCTCTCGACAAACATGGAGGAATTAGTTGTTGCGAAAACAGTCTGCGCATGCGTCTGAATAAGTAGTCATTAGTGCTAGCGAGATGTTGACTGACGTAGAGGTTTAATAGTTATGATCAATTTATAATTAGTATGTTTTTTATAGATTGTACCGTATTTTTGTTCACTTATTTATTCTTATGGCTATAAATGTATGAATTTGAGAAATATGAAGAAGTAAAACAATACAGGTAATTCTATAAACATATTATCAATCTAGAGAGCCGTGGGAAGTGTTGATTTACTTCCTACCGAGCTCTCAATTGAGTACCTCACCATTAAAGCTATATCATTAATATTATTATTCCTGTTACGGGATGGGGCACCTTCGGGACCAGCAAGGTGTTTTCCATAACGAAAATGTTAGTAAATAAAAGTTGTTGGTACGTAGTCATATGCCTATTACTTTGAAATCATGATGTATTCTACTTTTTTTTATTGACTTATCTACTTTTTTTTATTGACTTAAATAACGTAACGAACAGTGTAGAATACATGTACTCTATGGCACAACATATCAATATAAGTAGGCCTAACCAAACTTTACTAGAACTTGAGTATTTGAAATTGAATAAATGCGGATGCGTTATGGAGCAGTCATACTGTACTACAATCAATATGGTGGCCTAAAAAAATGACAAAATTAAAAACAATTGGTTTAGGATACAGTGTGATTGTGGAATAGAACGGTATTCAGGGACGGATTTAGTGGGCCCCTCTATGGGTAGTGTTGTGTCTCGATTTCCCCTTCCATTTTTTGTTGACATCTCTATTGGGTGCTCATCTCGGTGTAACCACTAATCAATAAGCCTTAATAATGGTATCGCATTGTTCATAAGATCGACAATGGCGTATGTTCGTCGCGGTCGTCGGTAGGTCACCATTACGGTTAACATCTGTATTCCCAATTTCAGTTAAGCCGGGCACTCACTGCGCTGGCCCGACCATCGTCGGCCGACGCGATTCTACGGAGAACGATCGTTCAGACAGCCACCGAAAATCAACAGGCGGCATGATGTGGCGTCGTCTATCGCTCTCAGGGAGCGAAGTTAAATTCGTCGTACGACGCAGTGAGTGTCCTGCATTATACTTATTGGTAGGCAGTTTATTAATAATGTCCGTCGGTTGGTCATTCCATCAGTCGGTTGGTCTGTCGGTCTGTCTTATATATCTTACATTGGCGGATCTGGAGGGGTCAGGGGTCAAAAATATATATATATATAAAATTCTAGGCCTACTTTCTGAAATTTTTTTGGTTACAATGGGAAAATCAGAAGTCGGGAAAGCTTCCGCAATCTAGGAAGAGGGGTAAACCTTGAATTTGAAGAAATTATGTAATTAAAAGACATTTCAGAAGTGGGAAAGCTCATTTTCCGCCAGCTATGAATCAAAATTTTCCCACGGAGAACCCGGACCCCCTTTCTCTTTGGGGTTCATCGATTCATTGAATCGTTTTCAAGAGGGGAACCTAAACTTTTATTATTTATTTTCCGCCATCTAGGAACAAAAATGTTCCTAACCCCGTCCTCTTTGGTGCTCATCAATTTATAGAAAAAAGAATAGGCCTACGTATGCAACTATTCTTTTTTTTTTTTTAATGTATATACACAAATAGGCCTATTTATTGTAATAACAATGAGAAAGTTTACCTGACCATTTTCAAGAGGGAAGAAAAATAAAATTAAAAATCATTAAAATACACCTCAGAAGTCGGGAAAGCTCATTTCCCGCCATCTAGGAATCAAAATTTTCCCGGGGAGGACACCCGACCCCCTTTCTTTGGGGTTTATCGATTCATGGAAAAAAGAACACGTATGCAACTACTGTACTCATTTTTTTCTGCATAGGCCTATACCGGTACACACATGATAGAATGAGAGAATTTACCTGACCGCTTCAAGTTTCAAGAGGGGATAAAACATTAGAAATGCCTTTCATTGGTACCTTGGTAATAGCCCTTCCTCAGAGCAAAATATAAAATATGTAGCCATATAAAATACATATATGATAAAATGATGGTGGTGGAGTGGTTTGGTGTTCACATTGACAGCAAGAGGTCACAGGTTCGATTCCCGTCGGAGGTAATTTATCTCATAATTTATTTATAGAACAATATTCATTGAGGAATACTGTGCTATGGCAAACAACAAACAGGCATCAAACAGATTAAAAGATTAAATCGAAACAATGTCACGTGATGATTTTTCGAAGAAATGTAGTAGGCCTACTGTTGATGATAATTTAAAGACGTAATAGTTTAAAACTGGTAACCTCGATTATAATATCTTCCCCTTTGATAACAAACAAATTTATACTATATCCTACATTAGCTGGCGATAGTAGTTACATTAGCTATGATGCAATTATGTTGGTGTTTCTACATTAGCGCGGAGTTTCACTACATAAGCTGTGGAGTGTGCTACATTTTGTTACTAAATTACCAGTTTTACACATTAGCGGTTGTGAACAAGGCATGGATAATTTGTAATCCGTTAATATATCAAAAGCTATTACTGACTATCACAAAAAAGAAATGATAACATTACCTATACAAGGACATCGTGTACAAATTCACATTATTCCGTAAATATAAATGAGCTAGAACAGATGAAAACGCCAAATTAAAATATTGTACATGAGGAATGAAGTTCGAAATTGTGTAATTTACTACATCATTAAAATTAGATGTACTTACATGTCTTGTTTAAGGCCTGAAAGAAGTCCGATTTTGAATAACAGAATAAATAACAAAATAAATATGAGTATACCAGTTGTAATCTGGAGCCCAATTGGACTTGTACAGCATATCTAGCTTGTGTCACCATTCATTAACGTGACTTTTATCGTATAGAGTTCATTATAAGGATAAAGCTATACCGCTATTAGCACCATTATTATTCCATGTAATTTTTAATAGAAAAGCCTCGCTTGAATTCACACACATCGGTTTCATCTGCCAACACGGTTGGACTGACCAGTCATCAGGCCTACTACAAATTTTTATGAGGGATCTTCTTGTCAAGAAAATTTAGTGATATTATAACAAGTTCAGACGTCTCCAATTAGGTCTTACTGAATATTTATTACATTTGTAGTTTGTCAATTTTGCTGTTACTCCGTCTATGCTATATAAAATTACAATGACCTATTATAGTAGTACCAGCCTATACTGTTTGTTAGCAACCATGTAGCATCATCGTACGAGTACTTGCGTAAATCTGTACAGCTTTAATAAGTAGTTATATAATCGATAAGTGCAGTTTTACTTATGTGCCATTTTAATCAAATTAGTGATAACCTCTAATAACCGGTGTTTATTGGTTAAATTAAAGTAATTATATTTCTGTATGATTACCTTAAAACAACAATGTTGTGGGAAATAATGGCTTCGTATACAAATTTGATAAGCAACAGCTAAAAAGTAAACTAGATTACATTATGATGTAGTAATATGGAACTCGCCTCAGATCGAATTGTTTGGTATAATTCGTTCAGGACGTAAAGTTTCAAATAAAATCATCAAACATTTATTTCACCATGACCAAATATACACAAAAAACAAGGCATAGATGAGGATCAACTTAAAAGTCGAGTTTGTTTAATATAGTGATCTATTATATATATATTATCGCACAAATGATACTGATTGATTGATTGATTTATTTATTTTCCACATAATGAACAAAAACAAACATATACATGATCAAACATATTCAAAAAATCTATGTGGAGGGAGACCACAATAAGTTTAAGAAAAACTTTAAGATGTGGCCACCATTAAAATAAAAATAAAATACAAAAACTGAAAAATAAACAGGTAGTCTGGTTTCTATTTTAATACATAAGTTAGAAGGCTTAATTACCATACATCGAGACCAGATATCGTTTGATATTAAGTTTAAAAGAAGAAAAACTGGGTAAAGATTTAAAAAAGGGGTCAAGGGAATTCCAT